ACCCCTCTTTTAATTAGATATATATAGATGTCTCCAGCAAACTCTGGAAATAATAAGTCTAATTGGTTAAAAACAAGACTGTTATTTGGTCCTTTACCATTATTAGATGCCCAGACTATGCATGTGGTATCCTATTAGTCTGATGGACATGAATGATAAAATACACTGCTACTCTCATCTCCAATAATAATAATAAAAAAGATAAATGATTATTATTATTATTATTATTATTATTATTATTATTATTACCTTTCAATGCTGGTTAGCTTAATCAATGTTCTAAACTCTCAATTTTAGGTCCAAGCAGGACTCCAGCTTGCTGTCTCTCTTACTAGGAAAATATGCCTTTATGGATCTACTCACATTACAATTGTGAATGATTCATGTACTGTTTTAGAAGCATCTTGGTCTGAACGGTATAAAAAAACAGAGCTTTGAAAAAAAGGAATACTGGTACTTAGGTTGAAAGGAACATATGTGGTTATTTTTATGTAACACTATATAACTGTCTCTTTCTGTTTAGAAATGTGTATAATTAGTATAATGCTCTTGAGTATGAATAGGGGTTGCTATTTTCTGATCAGCAAAGTTTTTTAAAAAAATTTGGCTCCCCCTACAGTCCAAGAGGTTGATTCTTTCAAACTAGCAGACCATCAAAAATGAATGAACCCTCTTCCGAAGAGAGGTTACAGTACAGTATTGTCCCTTTATCACTCCTCCTCTACCCCATGAGCCGTGCTTTTCTGGAAACTCCACTCAAAGCGCTTTACACATAATAGGGACTACCCTCCACCACCACCTAGATGATACGACCATCAGCTATCAGCCTGGAGGAGAACAGAGTGATGAAGCCGGTTCATAGATGGGGATTATTAGGAGGCCATGATGGGTAAGGACCAGTGGGACATTTGGCCAGAACATCCGGATAACACCCCTACTCTTTTCGAGAGTTTTTAATGACCACAGAGAGTCAGGACCTTGGCTTTATGTTTCATCCAAACGACGGCATCTTTTTACAGTCACTATACTGGGGCATTAGGACCAGCACAGACCGCAGGGTGAGCTCCCCCTGCTGGCCCCACTAATACCTCTTCAAGCAGCAACCTTAGTTTTTCCCAGGAGGTCTCTCATCCAGGGACTGACCAGGCTCACACCTGCTTAGCTACAGTGGGCTGCCAGTTGTGAGTTGCAGGGTAATTTGAAATGCACATTCTATTATGTACCAGATGCTTTGACATATTGTATTTGACATATTGTATATATATGTATTAAGGTTAAAAGTGAAAATTCTAAGGCAAACTGTCACTGTAACAAATACCAATATATAGGACTTGTGAATTATTCTTTCAATTAAATTTTCTGCGTAACAAACTCTTAATCAGGTTCGTGTTTTTCAGCCACTTTGAGTGGTTAGAGGAGCCTACGCATACTGTGAGCGCAAGAGAGGTTTGTAGCTCCGAGCTGAGACGTGAAAGAAACGCTAAAGGCTATTAAAAAGGTATAACAAAAATAATGGGCGATTCGAATTAAAAAACATTGTCATCGTATCTGTCAAATTCTGTAGTTGCATTTCCCACAGCTTTTTGTCTTTTCTATCTCATATTTGTTAACCTGGATGTTTTACAGAAACGTGTATTAATATGGTCTTAAAGAGAAGATGGACTTGATACAAATATTCTAAACTTTGTCAACTACATTGACAAGGTAAAGCCAGTGAAATTCTTCAGAATAAACAGTGACACACTAACCAGAGCACATAGGTGGAGACTACATGGAAATGAATTTAAAACCAGAAACCGGAGACGTGTTTACACAAAGGGGCGTGGTGGTGTGGAACAGGCTATCCAGCCAGGTGATTGAAACTGAAACCCCGGCTCCTTCAAGAAACGGCTGGATGAGATACTTGGATCAATTAACTACCATCACACAAGCTAGATGAGCTGAATGACCTACTGTATTGTTTGTATCCTTTCTTATCTTCTTATGTACTGTTACACCTTAAGGCAGACATCAGAACTTGCTGGGAATGCTGTGTTTACTGCTCAGGTATTTTCATTATCCTACTTTATAAAGTGCAGTGTAGAGGTCATATGAACTGGGTAGGCTTAGCAGAGACTTTTTCTTCCTCATGTACAGCATCCTACAAAAACAACTCAAGCCTCTCTGCTCTATAATCCATGAGCCAGTAGATATCTGGCAAACAATATCCACAGCGCGCTTAGAAATTATTACTGAAAGGCATCATGGAATTAATTATGTTTCTCTTTTGCCAAATGGATTTGGATTTTTAGCAAGACAGAAATGACTGTGCCGTCAGCGTTACAGTGCACTCTAAAGACACCGACTGAAGTTGTCATTTTTGATGCTGCGCAGCTGTCTGTGGAGAACTCCTATGAGTGCAACTTTTGCAGACTGTGGAATAGAGTTGTGACCATGTGACAAATGTTAGTGAAAGGGTTGTGCAAAAACACACCTGCAATTGCCTCTGTTCCCATGGTTTTATTATAGGGGAAAATAAACTGGGACTTTAGTGCTCCAGCACAGCCAAAAAATAACAGATGCCTTCAGGCACTGGTTTCCGATAAGGTTCAGATTAAGGTTCAGGACAGCAGTGGATCACACTCTGTCATTTCATGCATTACAATGGCTATCACAAGTATCACCACATCCCCCAGACTTTTTTCTATATTTTATTGTGTTACAATACAGAATCATGATGTATTTAACTGGGCGTTTTTGCCATTGATTAACACAAAACACTCTAGAATGTCAAAGTGGAGACAAAATTCTACAGATCTTCCTACATTCATTATAAATTTAAAACAGAAAATAACTGATTACATACTGTAATTTACCCACACCCGAAGAAGGCTCCACAGCTGAAGTGTTTCTTTTCTTCTCTTTTCAGCATGGAATAGACCATTACTTGTTCCTTTGGAGCCTAGGCATGCTGATACAGCTATCTTCTTGAACTACTACCGTTTGAATCAATATCAAACAGTAGTAGTTCAATATGTGGTAGAGGCACATTTGGCAGAAATTACAGTCATGAGCCTTCCTGGATAAGTTTCTACCAGCTTTGCACAATTGGACACTGCAATTCTTGCCCATTCTTCTTTGCAAAATTGCTGAAACTCTCTCAGGTTGGATGGCAGAAGTTGGTGAACAGCAATTTTAAAATAGTTTCACAACTGTGCCATATTTTCTACATTTCTTTTTAGTGGACTTTACTGTGCTTTGGGGGATGCCTTGGACATTTTCTTATAACCTTCCCTTGATAGCAGAAACACCCAAATGTATACTGTACATTGTGATACGATACTGTAACACAGTGAAATGTGATAAATTCCAAGGGGGGTGAACACTTTTGATAGCCATTATAAAATGTGAGTGTAGTTATGCTGACTCTAATATAAGACGAGTGTTATCATTAATATAATTCCTTGCATTTCTGTACCACTTTTCATCTCAAAAGATCCAAAAGCATTATATATACAGAACAGAGGAGAAACTCATTGACCCCACATCTACTGTAGCTCTGAAGGGCAGCATCCACCTGGATGATGCACAACAGGCCCATTGCTCAATAGATCAGGCAGGGAAGTGTGAAATTGCTTCTCCATTTGAATTAAGGGGGAACTTAAGGCTAGATTTTGCAATCCCAGAGTATATTGTACTTTACAGCAGCCACTGGGGTTAACACATCCCCAGGTAGGGTTTTGATAGGTTAACATTCTATCAAAAAGGGCCAAAGGATCTTTAATAACCAAGTAGTTAAGGCCTTGGTATAACACCTCATCCAAAGGATGGCACCTCCTACAGCACAGTGTCCTCATGTCACCCCAGACAGCATACTGGGCCATTGATTTGGAAATTCTGGTCCAGATGGACCACCTACCACACTACACACATTCAACATGATTAACTTAAAGAAGATAACACCAGCTAGGCACAGTTTGGCCTTATTTGCTTTGAAAAGAAGACAACGATGCCTATTCCTACTACTAATAAAATGTATATAGGTGGGAGTTAAACTAGATGATTATTTATGAAAAAGGGGTAAATCTTCTGTTTTGTTTTTATTCAATTTATTTAGAATAAATCAAAGTCCTCTTTTAATAATCTTCTAGAATAATTTAATTTATAATTCAATCTAAATTTGCGTTTGTGGCTGCTTTTTTAATGAAACCTAAAGCTAGAAGTGTTGAGGATAACAATAATAACAGACATTGAATTATCAATATGTTAATCTCCCTAATTCTTTACACCAAATTTATAAAATGATACAACCTGTGAGGGACGAACGTCCAATTGGACCTATTATTAGGGTAGTAGTGTCGTTTATTTTGTTGCCTCACACTTTGTAGTAATGCAGTGTTTTCAAGTTCAAATCAGTAAGTAGGACTTGTAACTTGTCTATTTTTCTTTATGTATGTTTCAAAGATGAATCAAACAGAATATTGCATGTGCTTTTGCTCACCATGTTACAGAAAAGCTGCTGTTTCTATGGTATCTGTCCAGCAAAAAGCAACCTGATACATTCCTGGGCTTTGACGATTGTTTTATACTGACAGGATAAAATAACTGAATCTTTTTAGTCTGGAATAAAGAGTACAATGAGGGATGTAATTTAAGAATTCAGCATCCTCAAAGGCACTGACTCATCAACCATGAAGACTTCTTCAGAATCAAAGAAGTAATTAACATGTCCTTACAGACTTGAAAAATCCCGACATCATTAATTTCAACTGGCCGTCTTTAGTGCAGCTCTGGGGTCGTGGCTTCAATTCCTGGGATGCTGTCTGCGTGGAGTTTGGAAGTTCTTCCCGCCTTTGTGTGTGTTTCCTCTCACAGTCCAAAGACATACTGGTAGGCTAACTGGCTTGACCCTGGTGTGCGTGCTTGCATATTTGTCCTGTGAGGGACAGGCGTCCTGTCCAGGGTGGACCCTACATGGTGCCAGTTGCTTGCCAGGATAGGCTCTGGATCCTCCATGACCCTGAACTGGTATAAGTGGTTAGTATGGGTGGTTACACGTCTTTGGGCATAAATGTAACAAAAAAAAAACAGACATTATAAACATCCATACGGACAAACGGTAAAAACGTAATTTTTATACTTTATTCTGAGCTGGTCAGCTAACTTCCGCTAGTTGTCTGCACAATGTATCAACAACCAATTTTCCCTTTAACGATCAATAACAAATTACAGGAAATTCCTCTTCATAGGAGGAATGAAGAATAAACACGCGGTATACGAATATTAAACTGGCTCGAGGAGGGTGTGTTAACACCCTGTCATCGTAACGTCTCTCGAGTCAATTAGCAAGACAGGAGATCTTAGTCAGAGCTTTCTGTTTAGTGTTTATTTTACCTCATGAGTTCAGGTTAAATAGCTTTTACATAAAATATCAACTGGGTGTTTTTAAAACAAGTATTTAAAACACTTGTTATAATGAATACATTGTTAAGGCCTACTCGAGCGCACAAGTGCATTTTGTAACAGGTTATTTATTGGCTATTTGATTTTTTGCGGTGCTCAGAGTAAGATCCCGATCATTTTCGATCGCGTACAGGTTTCACTCTCTCTTGAGATTACCGAGTCACGTGAAACTTGATCCGTCACAACTGAAATATAGTGCGTATTCAATGTTTCCTTACAGGAAGAGAATGCCGCCGTAATACTTTTTAAAATTATTGCTCAAACTCGGCTTTGCAACCTTAGCCTTCACTTTTCAGTCCGACGCACCGCGCAGATCCTGCTGTTTTTGATTGTCTTCGCCTTTGCCGAAAAAAAAAAGAACATCTCTAACGATCACCTCGAATCTCCCACTTGTAGGTGTGTGAAACACGATATCAAAACAATGAACCGACTGAATGCTCACAGAACATTGGCTCCCAGTCATCCACGTGGTGCATGGCCACTACAACAGGAAGTCGTGGATAAGAAGTGGGTCCTCCTACCGTCTGAGCTTGATCAAGCTTTCGCTGGGCTTGTTGAAGGACGCGATGAGTTTGCTAAGGCAACGCAACACTGTTACCAGTGGCAGCTCTGGCTTGGTTTTTGGGTGGTCGTTGCCGACAGCACAAATCCATTGCAGGTTGTTCTGCTGAGTTAACGAAACATTCTGCATGAAAATGCCAGTCAGATTTAAGGTAATCTTTCTTTTTCTGTACTGTTTAAAACAACCGATTGCTCGACAGCTCAGCAGGGAAGTGCAGAACTGCAGAACAATTCCTTTTGAACACGGATCGCGCGTTACGTCAGCAGAGTGATGTTGTTCAACTGGAGGAGGTTACTTTTTGGGTAGTTTTCTCGGTTTCACCGTCAGGTAACCTGTGCGCACCCTCTCAGTCGAGTATGGGCAGACCAGGACTAAATTAAATCCTGTACACACAAAAAAAAACTTCTTCTGCGTCTGTAGTGTTTTCGTTTTTGTTTCATGTTCAAATCACTTCAGTTTAAACTGCGACGGTTGCTCTCATACGCTGAAGTGTGTAGAATTCAGGAAAGCTGCGTCTGGTTTTGGATCAAAACATTAAAATTACACCACTGACGATCAAAACCTTTCTTTGAGGCTAGCAATATCATTTAGACACGACGTATCTGTCACTTTCGCAGAACAGGACCTCTATATGAATTTAAATACTGCAGAGCGACATTGACCATCGAAAAGGACAATACGGTATTAGTATAATCTGGTTATGGACTGCACAGATTAATTTTATAGTGATTAAGCAAAAACCTCACCTACTTTACAGATGGACAGGAATGACGCTGAGCGAAGAAAACGTGACAGTCTTGAGCAGTGCTTTAGTGATGTGCACGAATCCAAGGCAAGATACAGTATCCCCTGCTTGTACTATACTTTATATATGATGTAAGAAGTTTACAGTTGTGTAGAAAATGCAACCTGCATGGTTTATCAGTACTTTAGAGAGAATGAAAGATTTATCATCTGGACTGCTTCTGTTGACGCGAGCTGTAAATTTGCGCTTCATCCTGACTTGTCCTCCCTATACCCCAGTCGTGTGAAAAACAAGTACCAACAGTGTTCCTTACAGGGATAACAGCAGCAGCAATGGGACAGTTCAGTAAGACGAGAAAGAAGTGGTAATGCAGAAACACTAGTTAAGGAGTATCTTCAGCAGTGGGGTAACGTGTCTGTGTCCGTGCAGGGAGTCACCGAGTACAAGAAGAGATACGGGTGGAAGGACTCGGGGTCTCCTGTCTCTCCGGACCTCAGGGCACCCGGTGCGGGGCTGCGCTCAGACCAGCTGGGTAAGGAAGGCAGGAAGGCAACCTCCAGATCACAACTCTCTGTCATTTGATGCACAGTCTTTCCTATTTGTAATTTAAGTTTTAGACCCAATATATGCCTTTTTTGACTTTCAACTGTCACTACTAAATTGTCTTCCATGGGTGTAGAGCCGTGAATCCACAGTTAACAACAACATCAGTGCTGGTTTTGTTGTTTTTAGCTAGGTTCTTTTAAAGGTTTTACTTTCATACACGTGTAGTAGTAGTAGTAATAATAATAATAATAATAATAATACAAGCCCTAATTAAAATATAGCTTTGCTCCCCTCCCCTCCACCACCACCAATGTGTAACTCACATTTGAATGATATAATACTAGCCAAAGTGCACCAGCACTCTCACACACATCAGCTGTCAATGGGAAGGAGAATAGCACAATAATGAAGCCATTTCAAAGATGGGGATTATTAGGAGGCCATAACTGATAAAGGCCAAGGGGAGATGTAGTCAAGACACCAGGGTAACACCCCTAGTCTTTTTGAGAAACATCCTGGAATTTTTAATGACTGCAGAGAATCAGGATCTTGGTTTTAGATCTCATCCAAAGGACAGCACATTTTTTACAGTATAGTGTCTCCATGACTATAGTGGGGCATTAGGACCCACACAGACTGCAGGGTGAGCACCCCCTACTGGTCCAGTCCCAACCTTGGCTTTCGCAGGAGGTCTCCCTTCCAGGTGCTGGCCAGGCTCCCACCAGTTTAGCTTAAGTGAGCTCTGAGTTGCGAGTTGCAGGGTGATATAATTACTTCTTATACACAGCTCATGCTGTATCACTGTTTACTCCATCGCAGGCCACACAGACACCAACATGCTCCCACCAGGGCCAATTTTCCCAGAAGCCAATTTAATTTGTTGGTGTTATTTTAATATATGCCGACTTAAGGCTGGTGAACACCGTGTCTCCAAAGAGCTTGTAATTTGACTGTATACATCATGAAGCAGATTCATCCTGAGAGCGTAAGGAATTTCAGCTGTGCTCCTGGGTTTTAGAATATTTCAGAATTTTGAAAGGTGCCAGGAATAACATCGGCAAAAGAGTAAAATCCAATTACTGTTTAGCTGGGACATTCCAATTTGAGGAAAAGCAGAGATTAACTTTAAAATTACTGCTATAAAGCAGATCTGATTATACGCGAAATTTCTTTTCCATTTTGAGATGAGAAATGGTGTGGGAGTTAAAGTTATTAGTTGAATTACTGCTCGTCTTTCACATGGGTGGTGTTGGTACCAACCTGTTGTCTCTCTTGTCTGTTTTAGGAATTACGAAGGAGCCCAGTTTCACCTCCAAGAAGAGGGTGCCTTTCTACCGTCCACTGATCTCCAGGTCTTTCCAGTGGGAGCAAGGCGACGGCTCTGAGAGATCCCAACCAGCCGCCGCAGAGGAGAGGCCGCTGTCTCCCGAAAGAACGGAGACTCCACCAGCTCCACGGGTGCCCAGACTTCCCAGATCTCCGTCGGAGGATTTAAATCCACAGCCTTTCCCAGTGGCAAACGGCAAAAACTTGCCTTCCTCTGATCCAGATAAGCATTGCCCTACTCGCACAGCAGCAGCAGCTGAGAGATCAGACGCTGGGCTCGACGGAGTAAGTGTAATCTGATTTGGGGTGTCCACAATTAACCTCTTTTCAGCCTGTTAGATGTCACACTCTAATGTTGTCAAAAAAACAGTACAGTAATAATAATAATTGCTTACACTTATATAGTGCTTTTCTGGACACTCCACTCAAAGCGCTTTACAGGTAATGGGGACTCCCCTCCACCACCACCAATGTGCAGCATCCACCTGATTGATGCGACGGCAGTCATAGTGCGCCAGAACGCTCACCACACATCAGCTATCAGTGGGGAGAGCAGAGTAATTAAGACAATTCATAGATGGGGATTATTTGGAGGCCATGATTGGTAAGGGCCAATGGGAAATTTTGGCCAGGATTCAGGATTACTGCAGGAGTCAGGACTTCAGTTTTACATCTAATTAGAAGGATGGTGCTTGTTTACAGTATAGGGTCCCCGTTATACATTTTCAATTGGATAACCAAGATGAGGCAGGCATTTCTTACTATTGCTGTGTACTCCTGTTTGTAACAAGTTGCATTCACATCTAAAAAAAGATGGATTATTCTTTGTGCCAAGGTCTCTTTGCCTGCCTTGTTTGCTGCTGTGAAACTCAAGCATCCTGCGCTGCCTAACATACTGTAGCTGGCTCTGTGACTTAGTCAAAAAAGGCTAAGAACATGGCAGATCAAGAAAGAGTGAGAGTATAACAGCTCTGCTTTGTGATTGAACCTTTTAAGGTTCAGTAACAGAACAAATACAATTTGGATTTGGAATACTTTTTATCCATTACTTTCAACTTCCAACAATATTGTTTTTTAATTTGCAGGTTAATATGGGTACTTTTTTCACATGTCTTTAATAGACTGATGTATCCCAGTTTTCCCTATAATTATCATTTTTTGGTCAAGCTATGTATAAGCTCTCATGTACCAGGATCTCAACAATGAGCTGTCCCCCAGATAACACCATTTCTTCCAGCACAACTGTCAGGATGTAAACTAATGTAGGACTGGGATTTGTTATGTCTGTTGGGGACCACTCTAGGTGGTCATGTGTTTTTTTTTCTATATACGAATATATCATTGTTTACTTATTTACTGTCAGTAGAACTGGGACATTTCCTAAATAGAGGGGGTTATTCGTAGGACAGGGTTTTGGAATGTATGTAGGTTGATTTCTTGCTTGTGTCTGAAACTTTAGGTTTAAAAAATAAACTCAGGATAAACTCTCGTGTGAGTAGCGTTAAGAGAGGAGAGAGTGAAAGGAGAGCCGTGGTCCTTGTTTGTATTTTGTAGTTTTGATATTATAAGTTTTTTTTTTTTTCATGATTGAGAAGAAATACATTTAACACAGGAACCCAGTGTCTTAAGAATTTGAGAATACTCACTCTCCGAGTCTTCAAAGCCACGAAAGCATACAGTATCTTCTTGAAAGATCAGGGTGTCCACTCACTTGGCTTTTCTGACACATTTGGTGCTTAGACAGTTTCAGCGTGGAGCTAGCTTCATGTGTGTAAGTGTTCTGAATGCTTCATGGTGTTGTAAAAAGCCATCTTGTTTCAGGTTCACCGGGTCATGCAGAAGAAAGCTGGTCTGAAATCAACTGTACGTCGCAGTGCAGCACAAAACTCTGAGTATCAGAGACAGTTCTCTTGGAAAACGGCACCAGTTAGCTCCCCTCTCTTGGCTGCTGAACAGGTATTCTGTTTGCTCTTGTCTGTTATTCTACAGGGGGACAGTTGTGAATATTAAATGTTCTGCATTACTGGCAAGTAATGGGCACAAGGCACAATGCCTGTCCATTGCAGGGTGTGCACGCAGGCGCACGCAGGCGCACACACCAGGGCAGTTTTCCCAGAAGCCAATTACCCTAACAGTATGTTTTTGAACTGTGGGAGGAAAACAGAGCACCAGGAGGAAGCCCACACCAACATGGAGAGAACACACAAAACTCCATCGGCTAGTAACTGCCTTAATCAGACTAATGATTAAGCCTCTTCCAGATCTTCAGGTGCTGCTGATTTATAGAAATCTGGGACATTCGGGACCAGGGTTGGAGGAAGAGGAAGGGAAGCCAACAGTGAAATTAAAAAATGTGTAGTGTTATAGTCAGCATGTGCAGTGGTTGCTTCGGACACACTAAATCATGACATTTAGTGTGACTAAAAGGCTTGTATACTCAGCAAAAGAAACAACTCACTGTGGTTTAGCAGGTATATTTTTGGAAGAAATAGATTATGTATTTGAGGTATTTAAATTTTATTGGGGTCATTTTGATTAGTTGATCATTTATGACTGATTACACTTGAGTAACGTTAACTGTTGCATAAGCCAGAAATCACCTGTTAAGCAGAGCTGTTTAGGCACAGGGTATACAGTAGATGAAAATCAAGGTAGAAAGATTACAGTTACTGCTTATCAAGAGGACATCACCTTGTAGGATGTCAAGAGGTGTCTTGCAGATGTGCAGAATGATATAATAATTGTAGTGTAGTAACAGACCAAGTGATATTCCAGCAGGACAATGCATGTTCTCTTGTAGAAATGGCTTTCTTACAAGGTAAGAATGTGAATGCTGTGGCCATGTTATTTACATCTGTGGGATGAACAAGGATGACATCCCAGAGCTGGCATCCTGGGCTCAGTGACCGGTGAACAGGCCTGTGCTTGTCTGGGCTGTGTGAGACGAATAGGATAGAATTTCACAAGAGAGTGTCCGCATGGTGGTGCAGAGTATGTGTCAGTTGTACAGCTTGGATTGCCTCCAGACAAGCTACCAGCCTCGGACTTTAAAGTGGACCCCCTGTTGATCAATCCTGTTGGTGATAAGCGTTAATGAGTATAATGAACTAACATAAGGAACTGTGTCAAATCTGGTCAAAGAAAAGTCGCTGCGAAAACATTGTCATTTTATATTAGTGCCTTAGTGAATTATCTTCAGTTATAAATGGTTTCTTTTGATTTTCTGTGTATAGTAGAAAAAAACAAATCTGCTTTGCATATCATATAGGAGGAAAGTGCTGCCATTAAGCTGCTAACTACTGTACTATTATTTCTGTCAGCATGAGTTGCCTTTGTTGGCAAGAAAACTAGAACAACAATGCTGGTCTGAGATCTCCACATCACCTGGGATTCTCCTTCGAGCAGTGCCAATAGTTGATTTTCACTGATTGATTCATGAAATATACCAAGGGAATCCAACTGGGCAGCTTGCATTAAAATACGCTGTATTTAATATTTTAAAATTTTACTTGCCAGTTATTTTTGTAATGTGCTGTACCCACTCAATTTGAAATTGCCACCTCTGTCTTGTTCCCCATATCAGCCTGTGAGTACAAACCCTGCACCCGCAGAAAGTGTAGGCAGATTTCTCCAATACACCCTCTACAGCCAATTGTCTTTTGACACGTCACAGTTTGCACAACCCTGTAACGAAGGTTCAGTGCTGATTGGAGGAGAGGCGCGTCTCTCACATCACACTACACTATAAGTCTGAAAGCTCCAGAAAAGGAGCAGGAGTGTCTATATCGCTCAGAGCCAAGAGAGCCCTGGCCATTCAATCCCAATCCCAACCCTGCTGCTGGGTGCATTTTGTGCACTTGGGGAGTCTTGGTTCCCCAAGTGCACAGCTAGTAACATGGTCACAAAGCCTGGACCTCAACTGTGCTCTCGTGCAAGTCTTTACTGAGCCCCACAAATAAAGCTTTGTAGGAAGCCAAGGCTGCCAGTATCACATTGTTGTCCTCTTTTGATGAATGGATGAAATGGGTGTTTGAATTATTTTCGTATTCATGGGAACACAAAAGAATGCTTCACTCCCCTTCAGATGAATATTCCATGCCAGTAGCAAGAAGCGTCAGCTATAAATAGGAAGAAGAAACGGGTGAGCTTGAAGCTGCATATGAAAAAGACATAATTGTTTATACTAACAGGTTTCATCTTCTGGATAATGCAGGGAAGGCCAACAAATACTTGGATATATAATTGAAAGCACAGAAATTACATCAAGCAATGCTATTTCACGATGCATTAGTAAGACCTTCAGAAGACTTTGACTACCACCGTACAAAAAAAACCTTGCACCTCTGGGATAAGAAGAGACACCAGAAACAGACCATACCTCAAAGGAAAACCATAGCTGAACCTTTTTAAACAAAGAAGATTACAAGGATTCCTGATTCTAGTGTACTTAGTCCTTGGGGTATGAATGTCCAAGATATGGTCAGCTTACAAGCTGGTTCCCATAAGAAATAATAAGAACTTCAGATGGTGGAAGAGCGAATGCACTCAGAATACGCGATCAGGGAACTGAGGCTCACTCACTTGCATCACAAGGGGATGAGACCCAAGGCCACTGGGTACAGTGAATCACTCAGTCATGGCGTGTTTTATTTACTTGGCTTTGTTTGGTGTATTTTAGTGGTTATTTCGAAGGTTAATAGCCCTTAAAAATGACAGAGGAAGAGAAAACTGACAAAAACATGTGAAGTCTTATAAAAAGAACAGCAAAAACCTTTTGAATCGAACGTGGAGATTTCAACAAGTTATGAAGTAATTGAGTCTAACCCAACTGTACTTGGAGGACTGAGTGTATTCAGAATCTCTCAATGGCACTGACAGTCAACCCAGGAAACTTGTACAGAATAATTAGTGAAACACAAGTGGAAGCTGGGGGAAAGTACACTTAAAATTGAAAGATCACCTTTTACCATAAAAGATTGAGAGAGTCTGGAACCAGCTACCCAGTCATATTGTCAAAGTCTTTGACCTGTCTTCTCTTAAGAAACAGGTGGATGAGGGCCTTGGATCAGTTGTCTTTTAGCAGCCAGGCACTTTAGATGAGCACAATAGCTTTCTCTTGTCTGTAATCATTTACAGTATCTAAGAAACATATTCTGTGGTGTTTCCTTTTTGTTCTCTTTTTGTTTTTTGTTCTGAATAAAGGAGAAAAGCGTCACCGGTGGCTGCATAATTAAACATATCGCCAGCAGGTGGCAGCAAAGTCTCATGTTGGTTTTAAAAGCAGGTTTTCAAACATTTTATAGTTGACAAATACTGGTAGAGGTGAGTAGGTAGCGGCGTCAAAGTTTATTCCAAGCTGAAAAGCGAAGAAAGGAAACACGACGTTTCGCCGCTTTCGAATCTCACAGAGGTTCTCACTAAAGAAAATGCAGTCATTGACTATTTTAGTGCTATCGGTTTAGGTCATGTGTGTACAATTGTGACATTTCTAAATTAAGGGACATGCAGTGATACCAGGAACTCTGTATGAAAACAGTGGTTCATCACAATGTTAAGCACAATGATGGAAAGTAGACATAAAGTGTTTCTGTGTGTAGTTAGAGGTTTAAAACATTTGTGTTATTCAGTATTTCTGTTGTTTTCTGTACAGTTGTTCTGTTAATTATTCACATATTACTCTTCACCAAGTGACAAAGAAATACATTGCAAAAAATCCTTTGCCATCACTGTTAATAATGACCGAGTTACGAAGACCAAGAGCTGACCAGGCTCGTTCGTTTTCTCTCCCTCCGACAAGGTGATTTATAACAGAAACAGGGATGTTCCCCCATTCAAGTCGGATGCTGTGGTGTTGGAGAGCGAGTACAAGAAAAACTTCAAGGGCTTAGTCCTGCCCAAAGGCCCCAGGCTGCGCAGGGACGTGGAGGAGAGAGAGGCTGTGCTGTACGAGCCAGAGAATATCTCCCCAGACAAAACCCCCAAGGTACAGCTCACCTCCCAGCCCTTGCAGTTGGTAATAAAAGAAAGCAATGAACAGTAAAAGACTGGAACCTTCTTCTGTAGAGTAATGCGAATGTTTCGTTTTAGGAAATGGCCTAAATGAGACTGGTCTTTTCAATGGTGGTGTCTAGTTCCTTTATTTAGTGATTTTATTTCAAACCTGAGGAGAGCTAAAGGTGAATCAATGTACTTTTACATTGGTGCCTCCATGGTTTTTACAGACTCTTCACATCCAGTTAGTGATCGTAATCAGTGTTAATTGCAAAGAATACAGTCTAGCAGTAATGTCCTGTATTTGTACTGCCGTTCAGCCCATGAGAGCTGATTTTTCTCAGGATAGTCGAGATCACTTCTGCATTCCATAGGCTCTGCTAGAGACACATCTCGCAAAGTTTCCAGATCTTTATCTTTTGGGTTTGTACGCAGAAGTTTTTATAGTTCCTGCATACAATAGAATTCTGACACCTGAAACATGCAAATAAGAAGGCTTACAGTGTTATGTCCCTGACACACACACACAAGCTGGATCAACCTGAGAAACACACGAGGATTTTCCCAGCGGAACACGTTGGATAGCACTTTTTCATTATGAACTACATTCAAATACTAGAGTATGTCGATGTGACAAAAGACACTCTCTGTACATGAATGAATTAGAGTATTTCTGGCTCATTTTAGTGGCCAATTCTGGCCTAGTGAGACCCGACTCCCCTTCTTTTCTGTTCCAGAGTAAGAAGAATAAAAAAGGGGGATCCACAAAGCACAACAATACTTCCAGCGTTCCACATCCCAGGAGAGAGCGGGAGAGGCAGGTCTCAAGGAAACAGAACCCAAAAAGGCCCTTCTTCCCTCACCGAGGGTGTGGGTGAGCTGCAGCAGGGGCACAAGGCAGACTCTGGTTTTCTGTGGTTCATAGACATGGTGGCTTTTGCTGGCTTTGCATTCTTAGTTGTTACCGATCCTCGGTCTTGTCTCTATAGCAGTATCGTGTGTGAACCCTCATCCTTTTTGGTTAAATCTGTGTGCGGTAACTGTCTATTGGAACACTTGATGGAAATACATTTTTTTTACCAAAAGGGCTGAGAAAGGGGCTTTTAAAATAGTTTTACTTAATATCTGCCCATAAAAAGAGAGAATACAATTGTTTTTGTTCTAGTACTCATGATTTCTCACTATAGCTATTTAACAGAATAAAAGTAAATTGTGCATCATCAGTATTGCTGTTTTGGCAAGCAACTTTTGGCAACCCTCTTTGAATGAAATGTAAATGAGACTACAGGAACCTGGTCATTCCAGTAGTTGTTGATTGAGATTTTATTGCCTATCGGTTACCTCAGGTTCACGTCTGGGGCTCGGTTAATGGCATCAGTTTGCTTGATTCAATTCTTTACATCTCCCTGACCTTTTGAGTTTATCTCCCTTTGTTTCCCCCAGGAAACAGAAGTCGGAGTACAGTGCGAATTTCCGTTCCCCTCTGCTGTACAGGTACAAAGACGGCGCATGGATAAAAAGCCCCTGCGTGGGAGAAGAGGTAAGGATTGAAATTCAACTCCAGACACAGACATGCTTCTTTCAACAGGAGAAATCAAGACTTTACTGAAGAACTTACACAGGATTAAAAAAGCCTGCCTTTGATTTAGTTGGGGGTAAAAAGAGGAAGATGACAATAATGCTTTTTGGGGAAAATTACAGGTCTTTTACTCAATAAGTAGTTAGGCTTTTCTAAAGTAGTTTTCTACTTTATTTTCTGTGAGGGATGGACAGTATGATACACATTTTCATCTTTTCTCTGACAGCAAAATGGTCATCTGTACAATGACTTGCAGTACTTTATTTATAGGTTTTGTTGTTCTAATACATCATGTCATAAAACTAAATTAATGTATGAACCTAATTAATTTTATTTGTGTACACTGCTCAAGGTAATGGTGAATTTTACCTTCATCCTTGCAGGGATCTCAAAGAACCCTTAATCACATGTGGTATAATGAGGTAATACGGATTGTCTGGTGTCCCTTTGAAATGTGTTGTCTTTGTGCTGTCTGTGCTGGTAACCCCACCCTAGTACTGTTCATAAACAGAGTGGTATGCCTCACTTCTGCAGGTGTTTGTCTAGCGATTTTAGTGTTGCAGTTCTGGTTTTTCATACATCTCGCCTGTCGACAGGCTGTCAAGAACCTGCTCACGTGCCCATTGAAGCGTTTCTTTCCCTTTTTAATGGAATTTTACATGGACGTCCAGGAGGAGGAGAAGGGAAGCCCCAGACCTTGCCCACTCGGCCTCGTCTCGGCACAAGCGTCAGGTTTCTGAAACCTAACCGCACGTTTGACACTGAGCATCCCTTATCTCCATTTCACCTTTGCAGAGGTTACTATGGGGATGGAGTCCCCAGTACTCGTGTACTTGCAATATGTCTGTTGTTTCGTCAGTCTAACAGGTTAAAAATCAGACTGATTTTATTACTCCTTCATTCCATCTTACTCCAGGCTGTCAGAACCAGTGGTTCCAAACCCTAATTCTGAGGGGACCCCTCTATCTTTTGGCTTTGTGTTCCAGTTGAATTCAGTCTTAAGTCTTAATTGATGTTCATCTTCTGTTTGAGGCATGTGTCTGAATTTGCTTTCAGCTCTAAAAAGGTCTGAAGGGATTTGTAATTTCTGACTGTCAGAAGGGCTCTCATTAATGTCTGTTGCCAGGAATGGGTCCTCCGTAGCACACGAGAGCTTCCTGCGGCAGTGTCTGAGACACTGTCGTCTCCACCTGCGCCTGATCGACACGTCGAGGAGTGATTGCAGAGAGTTACGTTTTGGCTGAAAGAGAGAGTATTGTTCATGCATTTTTCGAATTCTGTACTCTTTCAACAAGTGCAAACAGCTCAATTAAAGGCATAAATAAGACCCAGTGATCACCGGCTCAGTTGGAATGAAAAACCACAGACACAGGGATCTCCGAGGACCAAGATGCGGAACTAGTCTAAATTATTGAACCCTCAGGGAATTCTGCTCGTACAGTATGTGTCTTTGTAGGGTTACCTGCCTTGTTCTTTGCCATGTTCTCTGTGCTTCAGTGGTTTGTGCTTGCTAGTGCCAGACCCCATAGGGACTGGTTTCCGCCTTGTGGCAAAGAGGCATCACTTGGAATCCATACCACAGCTCAGGTTTCCATAGTTACCATTGTCTCCAGAAATCTTGCATGAGATCCCAAACACTCTCTTCTCATGTCTCCTCCTCTTAATAATATGAATCTCCCACCCTTTCCATCATCCTTCTGCAAATAACTGCATGTCTTGCAAATTTATAAAGCAGAGTTATGGCTTTAAAAAGCATGGTTATGGCTTCAGCCAAGCGGTTTTTGTGTCACTTGTAAATACTAGATAGAAACTGTGGCTTTGGCTGACAGTTAATGATGTTGTATTGTAATGAAGTGCCACACTATAGGAAAGTCACCCTCCAAGTAGATTTAGCAATCTACTTACTAGTGCTGTTGACACAAGAACAGGTGTAATGCATTCTTTCAGTCCCCTCTTATTTTTAATTGGGTAGATGTTCATTTTGAGTGTGTTGAGGCCTTACTGGCTGGAATGGAGGGCAGGGCTCTTTGGGCATTGTGTGGAACTCACTTGTTTCCTCAGGTGAAAGAGCTACGGGAGAGAGCCGAAGCCTACAAGAAGAGAGCGTGGGGGACCCACTTCTCTCGGGAACACCTCAGCCAGATCCTCTCGGAACAGAATCGCCTGTGGGAGGTGAACTCGTCTTCCACTGTCACTGAGGACACCGTCAGCGACACGGTGAACGCCCTGGACCTGGCCAGGTAAAAGCAGCTTCACAGTACGCAGCCCGCCAAACAAACATTCAGCACAGCCAGTGTGCACATTTCATTCAGACCACTGGAATTTGTTTGAACCCAGAGTGCCTTCCACAGCTCAGAATTATTGATCTGCTGCACATTATTAGCAATTAGTGTTGATGAAAATAGAGTATAATGGTAATAAAATGGTGATAAAAATGTCTATATTGTCAATATTTGAACTGGTTAGGTTGTTTGTACAAAATGAAGACAGTATGGATTGTTAATGGAACACAATATAACATTGCCTTAAAATAAATTTAACAAGTACGCACATGAAAAAAACATCAAAAGCTGTGGTAAATGGGAGTGCAGGTAGGTGTTTGTGTTATGAAAAGAACCGTTTGAAAAGTATATAGGGATATATACTTTTTTCTGGCATCACTGAACCGAGAGGCAAATGCGCTTTCATAAACGTACCATAAACAACTTTGGCAATGATCTTAAACAAAG